CTACCACAACGGACGCGACGATCCGAGCCCTGCGCCGTCTCTTCGCCACTCATGGTCTACCGGATGTGCTGGTCTCAGACAACGGCCCCCAGCTCACATCCTTGGCCATGGAGTCCTTCCTGGCGGGACTGGGCATCCGCCACGCCCTGTCCGCCCCTTACAGGCCGGCCGGAAACGGACAAGCGGAACGCATGGTCCGACTGACCAAAGAGGCCCTCACCAAGATGGGCCCGGGGGACTGGCAAGAGCGCATAGACAATTTCCTCCTCACCCAGCACATCACGCCACACGCCACCACCCACAAGAGCCCGGCCGAACTGTTGATGGGCAGAAGGTTGAGGTCACCCTTGGACCGGCTGCACCCCCAATACAGCCCGGAAGTGACCGCAACCACCAGCCGCCCGCTTTGCGCCTTCAGCAACGGAGATTCAATTTTCGCGCTGAATTTCAGCGGCTCTCCTAAGTGGCTGAAGGGGAAGATTGCCAGCACAACCGGCCCCAAATCCTACATCGTCGAGTTGGAAGATGGACAGTTCGCGAGACGTCACATCGACCAACTCCGAAAAAGGTGGGGGGGAGCGCATGAAAACCAGCCTGACGAGGGAGGCCTACAACACCCCGATGAGGTAGACCTCCAACACCCCGGCGAGGTAGGCCTACCACACCCAGACCGGGCAGGCCTACAACAACCCGGCGAGGTAGGCCTACGACACCCCGACGAGGTAGGCCTACCACACCCCTGCGAGGCAGAGCAGCACCACCCCGTCAAGGTCGGCCCAGCCCACTACCAGATGCTGTCACGCCGGCAGCCCAGCGAGGTAGACCAGGGCCAACCGCACGGAGGATGGCAACACCAACCCAGCCAGGTGGGCACCGGGCACAGCAAGGCCAGGGACCACCAACCCAGCCCGCAGGTAGACCGGGACCTGCCCAGAGGAGGAGCAACGCACCCCACCAGTTACAGCAGCCCATGCCAGCCCAGCGAGGGAGACTGCAGTTCAAGGCGAGTAGACCGGGACCCAGCCACGGGCGAGGGTGGCACACAACTCACCGACGTGGGGGACCCCCGCCCATCACAAGAGACAGCCAAGAAACGACACCCCGACCAGGATGGCCCCAGGCACCAACCAACGGTAGACCAGGGACTAGGGGGAAGGGGAAGCCGACAACAACCCGGCCAGGGAGACCTGCACCACCCCGGCAGGGGAGACCTCCGCCGCCCCGCGGAGGCAGCGCCGCAACAACACCCCGACCAGGTCGACCACCGCCAGCCAGACAAGGTAGACCAACGCCAGCCCAACCGAGGGGACCAACGCCACCCCTGCGAGGTCGGACGGCACAACAACAACAACGAGAGCCAGCACCACCCGAACCGAGCGGAACCGCTACCCGAGCGGCAGCAAGCCGGACCGAGACCGAACCACAGCGCCCGGGAGACCAGGGAGGAGCAAGCAATGGACTTACCGAGACTCAGACGCTCTTCCCGGGTCGGAACCGAGCAGCCGAGGCGAGGCGAGAGATCCACAGGACAGGAGGAAGACCACCAGGACCAGCGATCCAAGGTCTGCGGTCCGGCCGGAGGCGCTGGGGGTGGCCCCGCTCACTCGACAGCCGAACCGAGCCCGGTTCCGGAGAGGGAACCAGGAGACGAAAGAGCCCCGTCCTTCCAGGCCGGAGACGGAGGAGAAGTGAGACTGCGCAGGTCAGCTAGGGTGCCGAGGCGTCCGGCGTACCTGCGCGACTACGTAACGTTTGTGAATGAGATTGACATTTCGGACTAAGGGGGGAGGAGTGTTATGTCCTTATAAGGGCATCCGCCCTGATTGGCTGCCAGCCATCGGGCGGGAGATTTGAATCCCTGTCAAGGGACGGTGCGTCTGCCGGGAGCGAATATAAGGAGAGCTCCGGCAGCGCGCCAGCAGTCTTGACTCGTTACTTTGTAATGAATAAAAGTTGCTTAATGTATCGAGCTGGTCCAGTCTTCTTTTCCCTGCGCCGGATCTAACACATTGATTTACCGAAATCAAAGGTTTTGGCACAAATAGAACGGTGGCTGGAGGATCTTAAGGCCCTTTTCTTGGAAAGGGGATCCATTGGGGAGAGAAATACGCTGTCTTTTATTCCACTCCTTAGTATATATACTCCAGTAGGCATATATGTGAATCCCATCGGTAAGGTTGCCCTGCCCAAGCCCACTGGCCGCTTATGTCTTAGGTACGTATCTAGGACTGTAACACAATAAAAATGTCAGTGCAGATACCAGTAAAAAGCAGGTTAGTGTAGCTCACGTCTTTTTAGGTTTCTGCTTCCAGGCCTCTGGTCCCAATCCAGTCCGTAAGCCAATTTATGCTTCGCAGCAGGCACTTCCGGGTCTCTTGGGAAAGTTCTCCTTCAGGCATCTCTGCGCAAGAGCTTCCGGGACAGTCAGAGCCACTTGTAGGGAGAGGGGCCCGGCGTCCTTCCCTTTGGCCAACCGGACCTATTTGGCCAGACACTTCTTGAAGAGGAGCTAGAAGGAAGAGGAGGCTGGAAGGGGAAGGGGAGGCATCGAGGGCCAGGAGAGGGGAGACCCAGGGCTCAGGAGAGGGAGCGCTTTGTCCCAACCAGCCCCACCAAGCAAACCTGGTTTGAGGAACCTCGTTGGGCCCCCTGGGAATGGGGAGCGTTCCCCAGTTATCCCATGGAGATGTATTTGGGGCCCTCAAGAGAAACGCAGACATTTCCTGGAGTAGAGGTGGGTTTCAGCAGGTTCTGACCAGTTCTGGAGAACCAGTGGCAGAAATTTTGAGTAGTTCAGAGAACTGGAAAATACCACCTCAGTCTGGCCCCACCCCCATCTATTCTCTGCCTTCCAAGTCCCAGCTGATCGGGAGGAAATGGGGATTTTGCAGTCTCCTTCCCCTGCCCTGCCCATCAAGTCACACCCACCAAGCCACATCCACAGAACCTGTAGTAAAAAACCCTTATACCTGACTTACCTCTTCCTTGGCCATGCACTTAACGTGGGGCTGCCCTTGCAGGCCACATGTGGGATGCTTTCATTCTGTGGGCTGCCGCCACATCTTCTGGATGCAGCTCCAGGTGCTGGGGATCTCTGGCAAGCCCTACATGGCAGGCCCACCCATCCCCTTAGGCTTCTGGCTCCCCCAGAGAGGGATGCTGCAGTGCCTCCCTCCAAGGGGTGAAATCCAGCAGGTTCTGACAGATTCTGGAGAACCGGTAGCGGAAATTTTGAGTCGTTCAGAGAACCAGCAAATACCCCCTCTGACTGGCCCCAGAGTGGGGAGGGAATGGAGATTTTGCAATATCCTTCCCTGCCCCGCCCATCAAGCCACCCCACCCACCAAACCACGCCCACAGAACCTGTAGTAAAAAAAAATTGGATTTCACCACTGCTCCCTCCGAAGAGTGTCTCCTACCGGGGTGAAGGGAGGGAAAAACCCTTCAGTGTTATGGCACCTGCCCTCTGGCAGCCCCGACGCCTTTGGGGCCCCTTAAGATGGTCTTGAAGGTCCACCCAGGTGTTCCCTCGGGACTTGGCCCAGGGCGGAGGTGAGCTGATCCGGCATGGCGTGGTGCATGATGCCCCTCCCCATCACCATTCCTGGTTGTTTTTACGGGGACTATTATATTCCATTTTTATTGTTGTACGCTTCCTGGAGTCACATTTAGTGAGCACGCGTGCACGCGATCTCTCTCTCTCTCACACACACACACATGGAATAGGGACACCTAAACCTAAAGAAAACTCAGGATGTCATTCTGGTGAAAGTCCCATGGATTGAAAACTGCTCTGGTCAACACTAGGAGCGAAATGGCTGCTTGGCTCCAAACGAAGTCAAGCCGCTCGGTCACTCTGCCTGAGGGACTCTATGTGCCCCCCCTGTCCTGGGCGCTCTCTCGGCTGGCGGATGGAATCGGTGGGTCTTTGGTCTCCTTCAGGCTGGGGGTTGTGGTGTAAGGTGGGTCTTCTTTACTCACTCCTCCTCTTCTCCCCTGCGGGCAGCCATTGCCCCCAGGGGCAGAGGGGCCCAGGACAGGGCCTGCCCACTTGGGGCCCTCTGGAGGGATCTCTCCCCCCAAGGGATTGTCATGTCTTCTGCCCACCCACCAAAGGAGCCTGCCGGTCCCTGCCCTTCTTGCACAAGGCATCTCCTCAGGCACCTTCTCCTGTCAGCATGGCCTTGCCACTTGCACACCTCTGCCCCCCCCCTGCCCTTTCCCCCTTTGCCTTTGGCTGGGGGCAGAAATGAAAGGAGCAGACCAGGGCTGGTGGTTTGCATGTTTACTGAAGCTCGGAAGGTATACACGAAGCCGGTCTAGAGGCTCAGCAAACAGGTTGAACCTGTTTTGCAAGACGAAGGCGAGGGAAGAGAGGGGGGGCAGGAGAGAGGCGAGAGGGAAGCAGTGTCTACCAGGACAGGTCTCCTCAGACTTTTGCGCAACACTTTTGCCGGGGAGAAAGGTCTCTTTGGTGGCAGAGTGTGAGGGAGGCACGGTTGAAGGCGAGGTCCTGCCAGGTGACAGAACGAATGCCGATAGGTGTAGGAGACTGGCATGAAAGGCCTCTAGAGCCTTTTTTAGAAGCAAATCCTTTTTTTGTTTGTTTTCTCTACCTGTGGGAATAGAGATTGACTGAAAGAGCCACACTAGGTTTTCCAAAAGATGGATACTCCCGCAGACTGCAGTCTCTGTCTATAAAGAGACAGAGACTGCCACCATTCGGCATCCGGCACTCTCCCGTCCACAGTACCCCTCTGCCCCTTCAACTTCCCACTTGGGAGGTCCTCTTTCCTTTGAATGGGGAAAGCCCATTATGTGTCATGACACAACCCCCAGCGCTGACACCAGGCTACCTGACTGGTGGGCTATGAAAGGGAGGGCGAGGGCGAGGGTTGGTAGGCTGTCAGGTAAGCAGGACAACCGGGTGAACTCACAGGGCTAACATCTGTGGGGCAAGGTGAGGAAGAACAAAGCAGAGGAATGAGGCTGATGGATTTCTAGAACCGCTCTAGGAACTGGATTATGCTTTTCATGCTCTTCCTCGTACTGGGAAACTCCAGGGGCCCCAAACCGGTCAGCAGGCAGATCCCGTGGAATCCATCCTTCAGGTGACGCCAGGTGACAGGCACCCCGTTATCTTCCAGCCGGTTCTTGTAGAGCAGGCCATCGTCTCGGAAAATGTCGTATTCGCAAGTTAGAAGGAAAGTCTCCGGAAACCGTCGTAGGATGACATCTTCCATCAGGAGCAGGGAAAACGTGGATTCAAATGCTCTTTTGCAAACTTGGTAAAGATCTTCTGAAAACGGACCGGGTACGAATGGCTCGTGAGGCGAGACTTTGAACTCCTCCGGAATGAGTTCTGCGCTGATCCATTTCCGGTACTTTGCCCTGAGTTCCTGGGGAACGTGGGCATTGCCCATAATTTCATCAACATTGACATTCCTTCCCGTAAGATAAAGCATGCCAAGACGGATAACCCGTTTCTTAAATAATATGGGAACGGAGTGGTTCCGCTGATAGGAAGGCAGATTGAAATCCAGAGCTTGGAGAAAAGGGTAGAGCAGCACGTGGCCCCGGGCACGCGGCAGGTCAGTTCTCATCACCAGCTGCTGGGAAATGGCAGCAATGATGCCAGCTCCGCTGCTGTCGCCAGCCAGCACAACCCGCTGGGGGTCCACCCCATAGTCCCCCGCATTCTTCAGAAAGTGCGACACGGCAGCGTAGCACCTGAGTTGCTGAGCTGGGTAGGGGTGCTCCGGTTCCAAGGGGAATCTACAGCAACAGAGAAGCCAAAGGAAAAAAAAAAAAAAAGAAGCTTACGAACGCATTGGCATCCCTGTTATTCCTCTTGTTGTTGTTGATTCATTGCATAATCACCCAGATATTTAGCCTGGATTTTGCCTTTTTATCCACCCATTGTGTCCTCTCTAAGGACCTGGGACAGGCAAATATCGTTTGATGATTTTAAAGGTATCTTTGTGAAGATGTCATCTGTTTCAAGTTGAGTTTTGCAATCGACCGAAGGTGATTTTGTCAATGCCGATGGCGTTCAAGGGGTGCTCCAGTTGCTCTGGGATTGCACCCAAGGGGCCTATGGCAGTTGGTACTGTATTTGCTTTCTTTTGCCACAGTCATTTTATTTTTGTTTGCAGGTCTTTATATTTTTTCCTTCTTGATTTATTATAGGTTCCCCACCCTCAAAAACTGCTCTGGCGGCAAGGGGTTAATTAGCCACCCGAAGGGCCTCCCGTGCACAGGATGGGACCACTGCCCAGGGATGGGGGGGGAGGTACAGTCATGTGACGCAGCCAACCTGAGCCCACTTACCTGATGCACACGACCACCGTGGTGCTTTCCCAGGCGATGAAGCGGCAGAACCTTTCGTAAGCTCCTGAAATATCACAAGGAATTGGTTGCATCGGCTCTTGGGTAAGAACATCCCATTTCTCCCACTCACAATTTGTAGGTTTCTCTCTGAGCGCACTCAGTTTTCCCCCTGTGGTCCTTGGATGCTGCAGAAGAATGAACCACTAAGCTCAAACATCCGTCTGTGCCTCTTGCAACTGAATTGTTTGCAGGACTTACGGAGGCTGCCAAAGAAGCCCACTCCACCGTGAATCCAGACCAGTCCTCGCGTGGGCTCGACACCTGCTGTCCTGGGCCAATAGACCCTTACTGGGACCGCCTCAAAAAGCATCTCCTTGATGGTCAGGTCAGGTGCTCTCCCCGGGGGGATCCCGTTCATGAGTTGCCTCCATATGATGTATTTGTGGCAGACACCAAGTTTCTCCAGAATCAGGGCCTGTTCAGTGGAAAACATAAGAAATAAATCCATCCATAACCCATGAACCCATCAGCTTCAAAGGTGATTTTTGCTGCTTCTTCCTTAGAAAGAACTTTCAAAGTCATCCCCCCCCCCCCGAAACAGAATGAAAGTGATAAAACGGCAGAAGGAATATTTGGCAATTCATGTGCCGTCCAAGCCCGTAGACATTTTGGGACATGGGAAGCATTTAACCCGCACACAGGCAACCGTGCCTGCTTTTCAAAGAAGGGGGCCAACGGCTCACCCCAGAGATTTGATGTGGCTGCGAAGGGAGGGAGGGGTGGGTGGGAGGCATTAGTGGGATTCCTCCGCTCGAGGCGGGGAAGGCATCATTGCAGGTCAACAACCAGATCAGAAAGAGAAAGCGGCAAAGGGGAGGTGGGTTCCAGGCAATTGGCAGAAACCAATTGTTTTTGGCACACGCACACACAAACACACACACCGGATTTCCTACAAGTTCTGCAAATGCCCCTTCAGACACTCAGGCTCCCCCAGCTGAGGCCTGTGCCGGCCAGGCAGAACCACAGAAAGCAAAAAGAGGGTCCAGGGAAGGAAGCTTACCAGTCTGAGAACAAGGCTCATGGCCAAATTCATCAGGCGCAGTTTCGCCCCCTGGGTGATTCCCGGTGGGATTTGCGTCCTGGTGAAGTCATAGTAAAAGGTCCAACCGAGGAGTAAAAGTGCGACCAAGGCGCTGAATTGAAGCGCCAGCGTCCACAGCGCTTGGCTTAAGGTCACCTCCGCCTCCATGGGAAGGCAGAGACCAGGCTGTTTCGGTACCAGGGAAGTTGAAGTCTTCTTATGGCTTAATCTCGCTAGTTTATACTCCATCAGGTGTGTAGGTTGTTTTCAAGTAGGACAGTCCCACCCACCCATGTGTTCGTTAGAGAAATAGAAGAGTAAGGGAGGGATGAAGTTCATGGCGTGATTAAATATGGCATCTGGCATAATTATGCAAGTTATCTTGCAGAATCCTAAAGAAACCAATGTCTTTCAAAATCCAATTATTGAGCTTATATCTGTCAGTACGGTTTCATCCCACTTGATCTTCATGATTTCTGCTGATTAAGAAAAGGCTATTTATATCTGCACCCTTTTCTTAATTATGGGCTTCTTGTGCCATTCTCCTCTGGGTCAGCTGCCTTGAGCAACCTTCCCAACAGAGGAATGGCTTAGGCAGGTTTTGAGTCCTCTTCGAGAGAATCCCGAAGCTCCCAGGAAGTTTGCAATTTGGACTCCAGTACTTTAATGAAATTAGAAGAAAACTGGATCTCTTAAACCGCAGGCCCCACCATCAGCCCAGTTCCCTAGGCCAGAGCAGGAAATCAACAGAATTGGGTTTGGGGGTTAGGGTTTGGGGGTTTGGGTTTGGGTTAGGGTTAGGGTTCTCCACACAGCCTACCACCACGATAAAGTAATATCTCGACAGCTTCAAAGCTATCGCTAAGGGACAGAAAACAGTGCCCTCCTGTGGCCCAAGCAGATATAGCAGCCACAAAAAAACCCTTTTTACTAGCATTTAAAGATTATTATTCTGTCTCTTTATTATTAAAAGCCTTATTAATATTAATAGAGCAACGGGAGGCCCAGGAGCTACATAACAGGCAAAAAGAAAGAATCTTTCTTCAAAAGCTTTAACCTGTGGTCAAAAGGTCTACAACGGCCTCCACGCTAACGTTGACAGAAAACAGCGCCATCGTGCGGTCCAGGCAGGGATCGCAGCAACCAAAAGAAAGGAACTTTTTAAATGGAGTTTTAGGGTTGTTATGCTATTCCTTCTTGGACCACAGGAGGGCACTGTTTTGTCCAGGGTTGCGGAACGGGCACAGAAGAATCTTAAAATACCATCGAAAAGGTTTATTTGTTTTTGCGGCTGCGATACCTGTTCTGGCCACACGAGGGCACCGTTTTCCGTCCCATGACTTCAAAGTTATTGCTAACGTGCAGAAAATTGTGCCCTCCTGTGGTCAAAGCAGGTATCGCAGCCACAAAAAGAAATCAACCTTCCGCAACCCTGGAGAAAACAGTGCCCTCCTGTGGTCCAAGAAGGAATAGCATAACAACCCTACAACTCCATTTAAAAAGTTTTTCTTTTGGTTGCTGCGATCCCTGCTTAGACCGCACGATGGCGCTGTTTCCTGTCAACGTTAGCGTGGAGGCCGTTGTAGACCTTTTGACCTCAGGTGAAGGCTTTTGAAGCAAGATTCTTTCTTTTTGCCTGTTATACAGAATAATAATCTTTAAATGCTATTAAAAAGGTTTTTTTTTTCTTTTTTTGTGTGGCTGCTCTTCCTTCTTGGACCACAGGAGGGCACTGTTTTGTCCAGGGTTGCGGACCTGGTACAGAAGAATCTTAAAATGCCAACGAAAAGGTTTATTTCTTTTTGCAGCCTTAGTACCTGTTTTGGCCACACGAGGGCACAGTTTTCGGTGCCATGACTTCAAAGTTATCGCTAAGGTGCAGAAAATTATGCCATCCTGTGGTCCAAGCAGGTATCGCAGCCACAAAAAGAAAGAAACCTTTTCGATGACATTTTAAGATTGTTATCCGTACGTATTGAAGTTATTCTTCTGTGCCAGTTCCGCAACCCTCGAGAAAACATTGCCATCCAGTGGTCCAAGAGGGAATAGCAGGTTTTCAGGGCTGCTCTTTTACCCTTTACCATTCCAACTTTTCTTCTCCCCTTCTTTTCCTTCCTCTCCTCCTACTTCCTTCGTTCTTCCTTTGTTCTTCCTCTCCTTCTCTTTCCTACTTCCCCTTCCCCCACTCCTCTACTCCTCTTTCCCCTCCCTTTTCTTCCTCTCCTTTCCCCTTTCTTCTTTCTCCTGTTCTCTCCTGTCCTCTGTTTTCCCTTCCCCTCTCTCCTGTTGTTTCCCTTTCCAGTTCAATCCTTTAGGGTTTAGGGTTTAGGGTTTAGGGTTTAGGGTTTAGGGTTAGGGTTTCGTTTCGTTTCGTCTCGTTTCCTGACTTCCGGTGGGACCGGAATCAGTTGGCCAGCATATGCATGCCCGCTGGAGTTGAGCTAGGGCAACACTCGCATGCCCACCAATATGGCTCCGCATGCCACAGGTTCACCATCACGGGACTAGAGCTTCCCATCTCCTCCCAAGGGAAGGGAAAGGAGGCACGGGGCAGGCAAGCCTGCAGGCTCCGGCACCCGTTCTCAGGACCTTTAGTTATCGCTTAGAGCTCTTCGCAGGTAACCCCGGCCTGCATTTTATGGAAAGAAGCTGGGGAGGGGAGCTTTTGTGCAGGGCCGTTGACACCATTGGGTGATGCAAAAAATCAAAATCCAAGGGAAACCATTAGCATGTTGTTGTTGTTGTGTGTGTTTTTATCTACATATACCCAGCTAGTTTAGAGACATAATATCATACAACTTTTGGCAATAAAGTTTCAGCCAATAGAAACTTCTGGCTCAACGATTCCAACACTTTAGGAAGTCTTTGACCGAGGAGCATTCGGGCGAATGCTCAACGGATGGAGAATGGAGCCGGAAGCCCTGCCGTGTTGCAGTTTGAAGCACCCGTGGGTGTGTGCAGAGATTAATCCACTCCGTCGGGAGAAAGAGCGCCTGTTTGGTGGATAGGAGAGTCTCGGGGCCTCTTGGTAGAGGTAGGCCGGTCGTGTTGCTTTTTGGAAGCATTCTGACTCTTGTTAAGAACGACTGCAGTTTTTTGCAATCAAGTTGTCACACTTTAAAAAGAAATCATAAGTGCAAATTTTATATCCCGAATTGGAAACACGCATCTTATTATTAGTCACTTTAATAGGGAGATTATCAAGAAAAATATAATCAGTAAAAATACTATACACGTGTGAAATGTATGTTAGTCTATTTAAGACTAAGGATGAGAGCAGGGCCCGAGGGATAAAGCCAGGGAGGCGTTTCCACACTCCCCGATCAGCTCTCTCCTCCTTCTCTCCTCTCGCAGACCCCTACGACCAAGCAACGATTGCCAAGGAGGAGGTGAAAGAAGAGGAGCCCGAGCCCTTTCAGAAGATCGGTCCAAGTACGATTGACCGAGTTTGCAACTTAAGTCATTAACCAGCTTTCAGTGTTTCAGAGCTGAGGTTTCAGGCCCAAGCCAGGGATGGAGCGTTTCTCGCAAAGGCAGGAAGCTCTCACTAGTCCAACAGAAAGAGCACATTCTTTGCCTGTGCGGGACCCGGACTCGATTCCTCTGGGCACGGCTGGTGACACGTCGGAAAATCTTCCTTGGATGTATCTTTCACCGGGGTTTGTTTAAGGAGCACCGATAGCAACCACTAGGTTTTCCAAGGCAGATTTTTCCAAGGCAGATTTCCAGGCAGAACAACTCCCAGGATGCCCGAAAGCTGCTCGGTATCAGGTCTGCTCGTCGGTCCATCTGTCCCACGACTATCGGCACTGACCGGCTGCAGGGCTCTGAACATCCGTTCAAGCAGAGGGTTTTTTCCCAGCCCTTCCCTGGAAACGCAGGGGTGAACCTGGACCTTTTGCACGCAAAGCAACAGCTCGAACTCGGACTGTGGCCATCCGTCAGGAGACAAGCAACCTGCTTGCAAATAGCACTCCTAAGTAAACCAAAAAATTAATCTTCCACGTTTGACATAGAGAAGAAACAAACACGGTTGAGTCGGGGAATTATAAAATTATTCTTGCTTAACGTTACATACTTTTATAAGCATCTGGTTAAAACAATCCAATTTGGCCAAAGTATTTAGATGTAAATACTTTATTGCAAAGAGAAGGAATTAAGCGCATGTTATTTATTTTAATAATTATATTCAGACCTAGGAAAAACATTCCACTTGCATGTCTCATGACTTAATTTTAGAATTCACCAAGAGCTCTTCATTAAAGGGGAAGATATCGTCTAAGTTTTGTCCTCTGGGATAAAAAAAAGTCCATTACAATTTTGCAGTGTTTTAATTTGATTGCTGCCGCATTCCTTGTTACGTTACCATGTTTTCTTCGGGAATAGGGTGAAATTGAGGGTGGGGAGCGATATTAAAACTAGAAATTGATCTTGATCTGAGATGCTAACTACCCCTCGTAAGCGCTGATGAGAGCGCGACTTGGCCTTTGCTGTCTGCGACGGTTATACAGCCCACTCCCAAACGCTACTTCTGCAAAAGGAAGTCTAGCCTCTGTAGCAGCCGTGTCTTTTCAGCCTCTCTCCAGGAAAGAGAGCTGGGGCAAAACAGAGGAAACAGTTACCATGAAGGTGGGTGCCCAGGGCCCCCTCGGTCAAGAAAACTTGGAACTCATCTCACGAGGTCACGTGGGAAACGTCTAGCCTGCTACGCTCTGAATTGAGATCCACGTTTGGGTCAAGGGTTTTTGGGAAAACCTTTTCTCCTTCTGAAAATTGTTTTCTTACTTTGTAGAAACAGGCAACTATACCTGTGAATTCTGTGGCAAGCAGTACAAGTACTCCACGCATCCCAGGAACACGTGGCCCTTCACGCACCAATCCATGAGTATCCAGCTGTGTCACAGCAACCGGGGAGACCCCGGGATCCAGGATCTTTCAAGGCAGAGGCCAATCGCACCTCTAAAGCGATCACGAGGGACAGAGCAGTACCGGCATATCTCCCTGATAGCTGTCCTTTGGGGATATACTTTGAGAGAAGGAGTTGTTCATATTTCAGTGCAAATAGTCAGGCCAGATTGCCTATCATTGTTAATACTATATTAAACCGTAAATAAAATTATACCTGTATTTTGCAGTTTACACATTTTTGACAATGTAGATTTTTCAGCTGGACCCATCACCTGCTTAAGGCTTATATAAGATACCGTAGCTGTTTCTTCTCAGTAAATTGAAATATTCAAAAGCGCGGGAACCCCATTCTCTTACCGGTTGCAGCCATCCACTTCCAAGGACCGGCCCCTCGGTCCCATTCTCCTCCCTGCACCCGTCCCTAGTCAGAGGGTCCGCCTCCGTCCTCCACCACCTCTTCCGCTAGGCCACCCGGGCTCCTTTGCCCTCCGAATCTCCAACGGCAGTCTTGACACTCTTACTCGGTTAAAGCCAGCTCAGATTTTGCTTTCCATTGGACCGGTTGAAAGCCCAAGAAGTAGGACAGGAAAGCCTCCTTCAGCTCAAGCATCTAGCCCTCATCGCCCCAGGCAGCACGTAGCCTCATGACAAACAGTCCCCTCCATCGTCCCCCCTTTCAGTCCATTGAGGTCGGTGGCCATCACCTCGTCCCCACGGAAGCAGATTCTGTACATTAACGCTAATTTCTTGAGGAAAGACTTTCTTTGGCCTGTCCTAATCCGTTAGGACTGCTGTTTTGAGGGGGAGAATGGCATCCTCCCCTTCACGTCTGCACCTCAGCACGTGGCTCTTTTTCTAAGATGAACAGCCCCAGTCTTGTAATCTGGGGGTTTTGCGGGCAAGTGTTGTTGCAGAGGCTTCGTAGAGAAATCGGTGGTGTCAAATTCAATGCATCCTTCTTGTTCTTACGCTGCGGAGAAGATTGCCTGTAGCCTGCTACAGTCTCCCTGATAAGACAGTCGTCTTATCAAGGAGACGAACGGCATATACTGTGATTTTTGGAGTATAAGATGCCCTGGACTCTAAGATGCACCTACCTTTTTTGGTGAGGAAAACAAGAAAAAGAAATCTGCCTCTTCCTCTCAGCAATTTTGCCTCGTTACAGCAAAATAGGCTGCTTTACTTTCATTTTTATTTTTAACATAGC